TACTAATACTAATACTAATACTAATACTAATACTAATACTAATACTAATATTAATACTAATCAAGGTTGTAAAAAGTGGTAATCGGATCGGAGGCGGTCAGGGACCGATTAAGATTAATCGGTGTGGCGGTGATTAATCGGTGATAAATCGGAAATAAATCGGTTTTTAAAATTTAATATAATATATTTCTAGATATTATTTATAAATACTCAAAACATATATAAAAAGATATTTAAACATAGTTATATTTCCATCATGTATATATCCTAATAACATAATAAAAGTTTACTAATAATAATAAGATCATAATACACAAATATCCTTATAAAATATAAATAAAAAGGCAATTTTTTTTTAATTTACATTTATTCTTGAACATTTCTGGCATACATCATTAGTTCTTTAAAAATAACAGTTAACATAAACAAAATAAAGAATAAACTTTTTTTTTTTAATTAAAATCCCAACTTTTATTTTGAATTAAAAAAATAAAAATAAATAAATAAATAAAAAAAAATCCGATTTTTGGTCGATTTTTGCCACCGAAGTTTGACCCGTCTTAAAGGTTTGACCGCCTCAACCCGCCTCACAAGCAAAAAACCGATTTTTCAAACCTTTACACTAAAATCGTAAAGGTTTTGGACAACCTCCGCCTCGGAGACCGATTAATCCACCGTCTCGGCCGATTTTTAGAACACTGATACTAATACTTATATGCTAATACTAATACTAATCATAATATACTAATCCTATTACTAATATTAATTCGCTAATGTTAATTTAATATACAAATGCTAATACTAATACTAATACTAATACTAAGATACTAATACTAATACTAATGTACTAATACTAATATACTAATATACTAATACTAATATACTAACTGATACTAATTTACTAATACTGATACTAATATACTAATACTAATACTAATGCTAATACTAATATTAATATATTAATACCAATACTAATATACCAATACCAATACGTACCAGTACCAATACCAATACCAATACCAATACCAATACCAATACCAATACCAATACAATTATCAATACCAATATATACCAAGACCAATATCAATATAATATCAATACCAATATCAATACAATTACCGATTCCAATAACATTACCAATACTAATACCAATATCAATACAAATACTAATATCAATACCAATACCATTATCAATACCATTATCATTATCGTTATCATTACCATTACCATTACCATTACCATTACCATGACAATTATTGTTATCATTATTGTTACCATTGCTATTACCATCACCAATACTAATATCATTAGCATTAGCATTACCATTATCATTAGCATTAGCATTACCATTACCATTACCATTACCAATACTAACATCAATACCAGGATCAATATCAATAATATAGGACCAATATCAATATTGATACCAATATCAATCATTACCATTACCATTACCTTTACCATTACCATTACCATTACTAATACTAATAGTAATATACTAATATTAAGACTAACCAGATGATAATACTATAACTATTAGTAATTCTGATGATAATCCTAATCATAGTACTAACATTAATCATAATCCTAACAATAATACTAATACTAACCCTAATTGTAATCCTAATACTAATTTCAATCATAATTTTAATCATAATCATAATCCTAATCCTAATCCTAATGGTAATGCAGATCTTAATTCTAATAATAATTCTAATTATAATCCTAATTCTAATAATAATACGAATCATAATTCTAATCATTATAGAAATGAAAATATGCTGATGCTAACACTAATTTTAATATTATTCCTAATCTGCTAATGCTAAGGGCAATGCTAATGCTAATGCTAATGTTAATGTTAATTTTCAATAATAATTCTAATCATAATGTTAATTCTAATATGCACCATAATCATAATGCTAATATTCATACTAATATGCATACTAATATTCATACTAATATTAATTGTAATATGCTAGCGGTAATGCTAATGCTAATCATAATCTTAATCCTAATGCCAATACAAATATTAATATTAATAATAATACTACACTAATACTTATTTACTAATGCCAATACTAATACTAATGTTAATCCTAATATACTAATGCTAATCCTAATATACTAATGATAATGTTAATCCTAATATACTAATGCTAATGTTAATCCTAATATACTAATTCTAATCTTAATATACTAATGCTAGTTATAATTCTAATTCTACTGCTATTGCTAATGGTAATGCTACTACTAATACTGATGCAACTCAAATAATGATACTAATATAATTATGACTGAAAATGAAGGGTAAATAAAAAGGTAGTTATATTAAAATTATTAAACAAAAAATCATTACAAAAACAATAATAAACCATCTACCAATTATTACCTAATAGAATTTTCTACCCCTTTAGATTTTGGAATAATCTAAGAAACTATAAAAAAGTATAGTGGAAAACATTATTGATTTAGTTTGATGGGAGTAATTTGAATGAAGATTATGAGGAGTTATTAAAATTATTGCATAAAGCAATCCAAAATTTTAGTAATTAATTTCATATATAAAAAAAAAATTGCATAAAATTAGGGGATATATATCCAACTAATAAAAATTTATAGCGATGAAACATACGTAGTGCCAAAAGTTGAAAAATGCGTACTAAAAAAAGTTTAACTTGATGTTTTAATATTTCATTTAAATTAAGCTTGAAAGGGGATCTAATTTTACTAAATATCGGATCCTACAACTATAAATCCCATTTCAATA